GGGTTTAGGGTTTAGGGGGTAGGGTCTCAATCATCATCGACTCGGGCCGCTACACATGAACGCAGAGCCTGATATGCTAAACTGGAAATCGAAAGCCCGGAACCCTGTCCCTAAACCCCAAACCACTAGACCTGCCCCGAACTTAAACCCAAATGCCGCTTCAGAGCATCGGCCGAATGCATCACTACTGTTGATGGTATAAATCCTGCATGACCCATAATAAGGAATCGACCCTAATTCCCATAGTTAAGGGTCCTTAAGGTAATGCAGGATTTATACCATCAACCGTATCCCACCGTGCTACATGTTTGAGAATGATGGACCTGGCATCCTCGAGGCGATTGGGAGGTTTGCACATTTAGGGTTTAAGGGTTCAGGGTTTAGGGTTTAGGGTTTAGGGGTTTAGGGTTTAGGGACACTAAACCCTAAACCCTCGTTCGCATGCACGAACACGTGAACTGCGCCTGCCGGATTCCCAGCAACAGCTTCGCAACGATATCTTCTTTAAGGCGCGATTGACCCACCCAACCCCTCTCCTTCTCTATACAGCCCCCTAAACCCGAACCCCTAAACCCTAAACCCCAAACCCTAAATCCCAAACCCTAAACCTCAAACCCTAAATCCCAAACCCTAAACCTCAAACCCTAAATCCCAAACCCTAAACCCCTTTGTAAGCAATGCCAAGTAGCAAGCCTTCAGGATTTCGGGCCGCATCCAGCACCTCGTACAGCTTTGCGAGGTCCCTCGGCGAGGGGGGGCCTCGAGCCCTGAAAAAGAAGGGACTTAGGGTTTAGGGTGTAGGGTTCAGGGCCCTGGGGTTTAGGGTTTCGGGTTCGGGACCTGGGGTTTGGGGCTTGGGGTTCAGGACCTAGGGTTTTCCAGGTTGGGGCTTCGGGGCTTGGGGCTTACTTAGGGTTTTTCTGATTTCTCCTGTCGGGCTCTTGGGGTTTACAGCGTAAGGGGTTCGGGCCGAAACACAAAAATACAAGGACCCTGATATGTAGGCCACCGAACGATTCTCGAAACCCTTCCACTCTTGGTGCGCTTTCTGGGGGATGACGCAGTATGGCTGAGAGTTTCGAGTGTTGGACCTACCAACACCCCCCCAAGTGCCCCTCATTCGAGCCGGTGTACCCAGAGACTCCAATATCCCCTAATTAAGGAATACACATTAAATTATAGTAGGATCCCTAATATGATTTAAGGTATACTCCGTAATTAAGGGATGTTGGAGTCTCTGGGCACCCACTATTAAAGGACCCGAAAGCCTCTATTGAAAGGTACTTGGGGGGTTTAGGGTTTAGGGGTTTCGGAGTTTAGGGTGTAGGGGTTTAGGGTTTAGCGGGTTCAGGGGTTTAGGGTTCAGGGTTTAGGATTTAGGATTTAGGGTTTAGGGTTTAGGGCTTGCGGGATGCTGGTAATGTCGAGGTTTTAGAGTGCGTCTAGGGTTGTCGAAGCCCACATCATGTGGGCTCAGACCCGAAGCTGTGCTCGTCTTGGGCTGTGGGATCAGGGGTTTTGGGCTTTGGGGGCTGAGGCTTAGGGTTTAGGGTTTAGGTTTAGGGTTTAGGGTTTAGGGTTAGGGTTCAGGGTTTCGGGTTTAGGGTTTCGGGTTTAGGGTTTAGGGTTTGGGAGTTGCGGTGTAAGGTCGGGCTTAAGGGTTTAGCCAACGGCTTCCTGCGCAGAGTTCGGCTCCACCTAAGGAGTCTGGGTTCCTCAACTCCTAAACCCAAAACCCTGAGTTCCTCAACTCCTAAACCCTCAACCCTGGGTTCCCTTACAAGAACACTGGTAAGGAACAGGCCGTTCCTTGGTTTCTTGCCTCTTCTCCATGATCTCATCGAGCCTCCCGGCTTTTCGGGGAAGTTCTCCATGAGACTCCCCGAACCCCCGTATCAAAGAGTCTGGCATCTAGGGTTTAGGGTTCAGGGGTTTAGGATTTTGGGGTTTAGGGGTTAGGGTTTAGAGTTTTGGGTTTTTTGTTTTTTGAGCCCCTTTCTACTCCAGCCCCCGCTCCTTAGGCTACAGTAAGGCCGCATCGGCCAGAGGTTGGTAGCCAAGGGTTTAGGGTTTGGGGCTTAGGGCTTAGGGCTTAAAGGCTTTGGGCCTAGTGCTTGGGGTTCAGGTGCTTCACGAAAGTTTGGGCGCTTGGCACCTTACAGAATCTTACGGATCATCGTTTCTGGGGGGTTTGGAGATGGGGATTTTCATGTAGAGTTCGAGCTGTAGCAACGTTCCGCAGCCAGGCGTGCCTGATGGAGGGAAGTTGCAACATTCCTCGCAGCATGGTCATTGTGAGGCTGCTTGATTGGAGATCTTTCTCAAGTGATGTTGGGGAACTCCTTCAAGTATTGCTGGATGGCCTACTGGGTCCTTGACTGTAGGCTCGGGATTCTGGGTCCCGATGGATTTTGGGCGAACA